TTGCGAGGATTAAAATCATTCATCATTATGTTCTCTTCTATCTTCCTCTTCTTGTTAGGGATGGGCATGGGCCGAGCCGGGTCGGGGCTAGGGACCCCTGTCCTGAGACCCAAAGGGATTCCTCAAATCTGGCCCAATCCCCAAACGGGAAATTTGGGGAATCCTATGACTCGGCCTGGTCCTTGAACGTGGAATTTGGGGAATCCTCGAACTCCTCGCAAAAAATAAAAAAAAATATCGGATTTTTTTTTTTTTTAAGTCTCTTATGTCTTATCAAAGTATCAAAAAATATGTTTCTTATGAAATGATACATTATGTCTATTTGATAAATGATAGATTATGTCTCTCTCTCTCTCTCTCTCTTTCTGAATTAACGTATATGTGTGCATTTGTGTTTTAATGTTAACATGTATACTGAAAATTAACGAACTGTGCTTTTGTTTTTATTTTATGCAGGTTTTGGCGCTCTCATCTCTCCTCTCTCTCTCTCTCTCTCTCTATATATTTATTATATATAATATATATATATATATATATATATATATATATATATAATATATATATAGATAATACAATATTAGGATTTCAATTTATCTTTTAATGCTATTAGGGTTTCAATTCAGCGCTTTAATTGCCTACTTTTGAAACGGATAGAAGATCATGTCTTGGAACCAATAAAGATAAGTGTCTTTGATGAAATTGTAAATGCAGTTGCTGCATGGTCAACTGATGTGAAGCTACAGACAATTGCCAATTGTTTTAAGCATTGCAAAATTAGGACCCTCGATGTTGATGAATTGCAAATTACAAATGAAGTGGATGAGGAGAATCAAAGAGTCATTGTAAAATTGAGTGATAAGATTCGGCAACTTCACTATACTAATCGAATGAATATTAATGACTTTCTCAATCATCTAAATAAGCAACAAATCATGTATGCTTTAACTGAAGAAAAAATCATTACTATAATTTGACAAGAAAAGAAAGGACATAATAATAAGGATGATAGTATGGAAATACAAAAATTTTCGTGCCAAAAAACTTTAAACATATTTGAGAAGCTAGAAATGTTTTGGCTTTAAACAAAAAAAAGTCAATGCCAATGAGTAATGTACCTGCAAGTTAAAAGATGTGGTAACATCTCTAAAGAATATATCATTGTCCCAAATAACTTTAGATAAATATTTTTATTTCATCTTAAACATTTAATATAACATAACATATTTTTTTTTTTTTTGCGATAAATAGATAATTATTACTATATAGAGACAACTTTACTTAAGACGGAAATTAAAAACATTATAACTTATTACAATGTGGAATTTATTCTTATTTATAACTATCCCAAATTGAGAGTATAATTTTTATGACTATGTAGAGTTTAATCTCATATGAAATATCACTATAGAGAGGTTTTACTATAAATATATATATCAAATTATTAAAGAGAATTTAAGATAAAATAAATAACTACCATAATTTATTATTAATTAATTTAAATGTCTTAATGCATATATATTATGTATTTATGTTATTAACATTTACAAGTTATTTGAAAAAAAAATGTTATTATCTATCAATAATATAAAATATATATTAACATTTAGTCATTTACATATATATCAAGTGTAAGTTTTAAGGAGGTTACCAAGTGATTAAAACTTATGCGGAATGAGTTGCTTGTTCAATTTTTAGAGCAAATGAGTTGTGAGAGACATAAACAAAACATACATCAAAACAAGTAAAGAACACACTCATTTTTACATGGTTTGACATCAAGCCTACATCCATGGGACAAAGTCTAGAGAAAGTAGATTCACTATGAAATACTTATGAGTTCAAATACAAGGCAAGATAACCAAAGTTGAAAAACCACTCCCTATTTTCTACACGACAACTCTATCGTCTTTGGTTGAACTTCAAATCCTCACAGCAAGCTTCACATGCACATCATCACCATGTTGAAATTGAGCTCCTCTCAAGTTTCAACAACAAAGATAGATCTTCTGGACACCAGCTTACACACAAGCATTCATCATCATGGAATCAAGTTCCAAATCATCACACAAGGTCAAGTGAAGAGGGTAATTCTAAGCCTACCAAAGCATAGTAAGAAACCTTAACCAAAACGAAGACCTTAAGGAGTATTCAGAGAGCAAAACAATGGTGATCAGATTTCTTAAAGCAGACGCCAGAAAAGTATGAATATATAAAGTTTAACACGTCAAGGGTTAGGGGACAAAAATGTTAAATATAAACTTTTGTGTTTTTCTTTTTTAAAAGAAACTTGGGACCACAAACAAAAATAAAATACCTTTTCTCACACAACGAATATAAAGTAGACAAGCGGAAAAACACATAACAAAATATCAACAAGGAATAATATTGTCCAAAAAGCAAAACGGGTGCGTGATGTGTTTTTGAGAAAAATATCTGCCAGATGCATTATGACCACACAAACTCTCAAGTGCTCACACTGGAGAAGGTGTTCTCCTTTAGAGAGAGTGGCCACATTGGCAGATAAGGTAAAAGATTGTGCAAGACTCAAGACAGGATCATAAGATGACAAAACACTTACATTAAGTAATTCATATATACATATTTAGCTTATTATATTTAATATAGATAATTTCTCTATTATTATTTATTACCTATTTGTATATGGTTTCACTTAATGTTCCCACAATTATATTATTATAATCACATTTGAATTTGATCAATTAATAATGTGAAACAATTAATTATTAAAGTAGTAATTTCTTGACAAATGTGTTTTTCTTTTACATAGTAAATTGTGTCTCCTCATCTTTATAATACAATGTATGAATTTTTTTGAATATCACATAAAGTTCCTCTTCCTTCTTCTAATTAATTGGTAAATTTAATTTAGAACAATTTTAAGTGCTGATTTAAGTAATTAATTTGTTCTTGTATAATTTATAGCTTCATTTATTGATTTTCAACTATTCAAATTAATATAGGATTAAATGGTTAAACCTGACTAAAATTTTTATGTAGGACTGTTAATGATAATTAGATGCAATTAGATTCTAATTAAAATGAGAATATATAAATTGCATCAAAATAACATATTATCATGTCATTAAAAAAATTAAATATAACATCTTTTTGTATCAAATGTTAACAATATTCAAAAGCATCCACAAATTTATATTTATATATATCTCAGGATCGAGGCGAAGCCAATTCGAGGCGAGCCGGGCAGAGGATGAGACTATCTCCGTCCTCGACTCGGCCTCGAATCAATTTGAGAATCCCGACCCAATTCAGGCCAGGTCAGGGCAAGTCCCCGACGAGGAAAGGAACATGCCCATCCCTACTTTTGTTTCCTACTTGTCTTTGCAAATTCACACAACATGTTGATATATAAATCTATACCAACTAAAGTGATCCGATCGACTTTGGTGGGATCGATACTGGTGTGTGTGTGATTATAGATAATCTGCAATTAACAAAAAATGAATGTAAAGAAGAAGATGGCACAGAGATTTTAAAAGTAGTTCGGTGACATAAACTCTTAAGCGTACGTCTATTGTTCTTTGTATTTGCTGTGTGAGCTTATAGTATAAGTTCCATGAAAATTTTCTAACTCCTTTTTCATCATTTGAGGGATTTATATACAAGGTTTGTGCAAAAAGGAAGAGGGAAATTAAAAGGATTACAACTAAATTGAAATATAACTCCAATATTCTCGCGATTGGGCGCTGTGATTGTGTAAGGATTACTGTCAATTTGAATATTCCTGAAATATCTAGGATCTAAAGTTATCTGGGAATTGGTTGAATGATCATTCGGATTGTTCGCGACTAGCTTGTGTTGGGTCGAGCTATATTTCGACGAGCTTATGTTGGGTTGGACAACCAGTAGAGTCGGATTGATTCTAGGTCGAGCTACTAGCTCTCAACTCTCCGGGCTTGGTGGAAAAATCACACACAACACAATCATAAGCTGAATTAGTAAGTAAAAATACATAAATATACACTTAACATAAATTTAAGTAACTTTGCGTGGTATTTATACTAACCGGTCTAAGACAACTTCACTTGGCATGGTGTTTATTCAGTTAGCATGAAAATAATGCTAAGTGTATTTTTGCTATTGTCGTTTCGTGTAAATACCATGCATTTAGCATGAATTTTGATATAAGATAAACTATACTTTGCGTGATCTTATCTCAGTTAGCAACGTTAAATGCATTTTTGCCAGTGTCAATTCTCGTAAATCATTATTACTTTAGCATGAATTTTACACCAAATGGTTTTTTATCAGCGTAATATCCAGTTCACACAAAATTACTAAGTAAGAAATGTATATGTGAACTCGTTGAGACATCAATTTCCCAGCAAATCAACCAACACAGACAACACTTCCATTATAGAATCATCATATTGCTAAAAAAAAAAAAAAAATACACAGTAACAACCTTGGAGGAAGTTTGAAACTAATGTGCATTACGAAATCTTAAACAGCTCAAACAACTCAAAATGTTTTTAAGGCAACTAAAGCAATCAAATATCACTAACCTTCTTGCCCATGTCTAACAACTTTGACTGATGTAACCAAACCGTCATCAAGCAATCAAGCGTGTTCACCTTCTCCTCAAAACGATTAAAACCACAGCTATCACCACTCTAGAACTTTAAAAAGAATTTGTATAACTTCAATGATCTAACCCAATCTAAAACATTGAAGAATTTGAAGGATTGAAACGTGAAGGTCAAAAAAAGGCTTCATTTTTTTTTTTCCTTTTAAACAGGAGAAAAATGAATTGAGTCTCAACTCTCAATGTCTCGTATTTGTACAAGGGTAAAAACGAAAATACATGATCGGGTGCTCAATATGTTTAGGGTTTGAGAAGTTGATTATTTTTGTTTAACCCCTTAATTTGTGGTTAATTTATTAATATTCCCTGAAAGTACACTATTAATTAATTTAATTAATATCCCTAATCCTAATAAATCAATCATTCTACTCTACTCCCAAACGCAGCCTCACTGTGCAAAGAGAGCTAAAGCCCTACGTAACAACTGGCACTGATTGATTTTTTTTTATATCGGTGACTTCTTTCTTCCTCCTTTGTTCATCAATAAAAAATGGCGGCTTCATCACTCTCTTTCTCTCCCAAGACCATCACTTCCTCACCCAGACCCAAAACCAATCCGTTTATCAATCATTTCTCGCATTCACTTCAATTTCCCATCGCTTCCTCCACCTCACGCGCCATCTTCACCAGCCCAACCACCTCCATAGTTCCACGGGCCTCTTCCGTAATTTCACGCGCAACTAACGATGCTGCCAGCACAAACACAAACACATTTCACGGCCTCTGCTACGTGGTGGGCGACAACATCGACACTGACCAAATCATCCCCGCCGAGTACCTCACATTAGTCCCGTCCAAGCCCGAGGAATACGAAAAACTCGGCACCTACGCTTTAATCGGTCTCCCTTCGACCTACACCACACGCTTCATTGACGAAAATGAAACCAAAACAAAATACAAAATCGTAATCGGGGGCGATAACTTCGGGTGCGGGTCGTCTCGTGAGCACGCGCCGGTGGCATTGGGAGCGGCTGGAGTTGCGGCGGTTGTTGCGGAGAGCTACGCGAGGATATTTTTCAGGAACTCGGTTGCTACGGGGGAAATTTATCCGTTGGAATCGGAGGGAAGGCTTTGTGAAGAGTGTAGGACGGGTGATGTGGTGACAATTGAGATGGCTGAGAGCCGTCTGATCAATCACACTACTGGGAAGGAGTATAAATTGAAGCCAATTGGTGATGCAGGGCCTGTGATCGATGCTGGAGGAATTTTTGCGTACGCGCGAAAGACCGGAATGATTCCCAGCCAAAATTAAGGTAACTTTTTTAACATTTTAGTTATTGTTTTTGAATTTATGATGTTTTTATAATTAATGAGGATGGCTTCGAGTGTTAGTCTAATATATAATTAGAAATACAATCCTATTTGTGAACATTTTACATGAGAAATGGTCTACTTGAAATTGAAATGAAAAGCCCCGAGAACGTCTCCATTGAGGCTAGTGAAGCGATGTTTGGTTTTCTGGGTATCATGTTAAATTAATTACTCTTCAACAGAGCCCTTTTATTTGAATACTATGACTGGTTTTGTTAATAGTTAGCTTTTTGGGATACATATTAGAAGTTTTATGGGTTATTTTTGGGAAAGTTGGATTGGAGAGATGTGAAATTGATGTTATTTCTTAGGAGCTAAGTTTTTATAGTTTTTAATTTGCTTTTGGGACTTTTAAGATGAATGTTAAGAGATCAGTTATGGTAATTTCTGTTGTTTTGTGAATGATTATAATTTGTTTCTTGGCTGTGTTTTCGGTATTATGAATAATGATATTGGTATGGTATGTTGCTCAAGTCTGATGAGAGTTTGATGTGTTCACAATTATGTTAGGAGGAACAAAACGCTGGAAAGGGGGGTGGGGGAAGGGGTGGAGTTTATGTGGTTTTTGAGAGTCTAATCACAGCTTTCATCTATAGATTGAATCATCTATTCTATTATCTTCATGTAATATTTGTATTTCATTAGATGTTGATTGGTGAAATGGTTGATTCTTGTTGATATATCATTATTCTTATATTAAAATTTTGTTTTATAGCTGGTGTAGTGCTTAGCTTCTTATTTACTTAGAAGCTTTAAGTGCTTTCACACATTTACTGAATCTTAATGGATTTGGACGCTAAATGCTAATGGTGGAATTGTGCTTTTTATTTTAATTTTTTCTTTTCCTTGAATCAGTAGTAGGGACATTAAGAAATTTCATAATATTTTTTTTTCAGAACTGGTGTTGAGGTATGAGCTTTAAGCAATTAATGTTTTAAAATAAAAAAAAAATTATTGTCTACTTAATAATAATCAAGTTATTTAGTTAGTTATACCTTCCAATGTAGTTTTGTGCAATATCAGTTGGATGCTTCTATACTCCGTTTACATTTGAAGGCTTCTGAAATTTGGATTCTTACCTGTTAATTAGATTTACATTGATTGCTGTGTTTTAACTTTTTCTTTCTGCAGGGTACTTCTGCTTGCAGTATGGTATGCAGGTTTCATAGACTAGTGATATGGTAGATACCAACTCTGTTTTCAGATGCTTGGCATTTAAACCTTTAGAAGAAATAATTACCCTTAAATAGGTGCTGAAATGCTTACTTGTCTTCTCTTGTAAGTTGTATCATGACTTGTCTCAGTGATGTTAGGATCTAGAATCTTCTTGGTATTTAGTTGATTCTCGATGTTGAGTTATTTTGCTTATGTAAGTGATTGTCGAAACTGATGCTGTTGATCTTTCAGTAATTTATAGGTGTTGAAGTTATGCTTGTGCCGAATTTTGTTTCTAAGGTTCTTATCTATTCTAATATTGCACCAAGGATAGCATAGACGTGGTTGTTTGCGACAGTTGTACTCTTATGTTTGGCTTTATCATTTGCAAGTAGAAAAGATGAGTAAGGATTACAGGTAAACTTCGGTGGATAGGAAAGATGATTAGGTCCACAGGTAAAATTCCAGACGTTAGCAGTCCCTATATCATTTGATTGTATAAATCCATTTTGCTCTTGTAAAGTCCTTCCTGTTCACAGTTTTATTTACGAGAGAAACCAAGAAAAAAAATTCGCAGAAGAAATCATTCAAAATGGAAGCCATTTTCCTCTGGAAAATTTTCTACATCTTAATAACTCTTTAACATTTTCCTGCATACTTTAATAATTCTTTTAGAGAAGAATTTTATAGCCAAAGTCATTACAAACTCGTCATAATAATCTACAGAATTTTAAATTTAAAGCAGACCCGTATCTAGCACTTGCTCCAAACGCTAATCAAATCTGGTTATTTTTCTGCTTTATATTAAAACTAGACATGGGGTCTGCGCGTTCTGCATATGTTTATTTAATGTTTTTTAAATAGATTCTAAACAAATTTATGCAAATAAAATAAAATAATTAGATTAGAGCATAATAATTGTTAAATTATATAAATTTTAAAATAAATATAAATTTTATATATATACAAAGTTGTGTTAAGATAAAAGTAATAATTGTGCCTGTATAATTATTCATATCAATTGTAGGTAGATGTCATTAAATTATTGATCTAACTTGAGAAGATCACCTGAATATTATATGGTCTAATTATATTTTTAAGATCATCACCTTGTACAATTGATATTATTTTTGCAAACATGTCTTTAATATTCGATATCAGTATTTTGTAGTGAATTGTGTATGATATTTAAGATTACATGAATATTATCAAGATCAACCATTTAAACTTAAAATTTATACTGACCTTTCGCAATTTCTGTAACTTATATTCATTTTCAAGTTACGTTGCACAGGTATATTTATTATATATATTTTTATATTATTATTGGTTTTTTGTGTTTTAAATATATATTTTCTATATTGAAGTTCATTTTACATTGAATTGATAATTAAAAAAACTTAATAAATAAAATATTCACAAATTGAACTTAAAGTCTATATCATCATGGTTTTTTTCAAATATGTCACCATTTGAAAGAAAGTTTAAAACTTTGTTAAGAAAAGCAAAAAAGATTGTAGGATAACCTACTAGGTATTATCTATAAATCAATTAGAGAAAGAGAAACTTTGTTGAAAAATGTGACATTTTAAGCAAGAGAGCTGCAAAGCCAAAGGGAAAAACAGATTTTGACTGTTGAGAAGCAAAAATGAATTATTTTTATTATTATTATTTTAGAAATTAAAAAAAATTAAGAATGTTAAGAAGAGAACTCACATAGAAAGCAACAACAACTCCAACAGTATAATCTGAAGGCAACTTAATTGAAACATTGAAGAAAGAATGAAGATAAAGGTCCTATGACACAAATCTATTTGCTGCAATAAGAATTGACCACCACCTATAGCAAAAAAAGTATTTGATGACAGCATCATAAAGAAAGACGATAATTGTAAAACCCACAAAACCCACAAATCAAACAACAAAATCAATCCAAAAATCAACAAAAAGAGATACAATAAATACAATTAAAACTACATGTCAATATTTGTTTTCCTTTATCATCACTAAAATGAATTTGTTTTATGTGTATGATGATAAAATGAATGGTTTGGAAGTATCCTAATTCATCGTATAATATATCAAATTAAATCCCTATCTTTCTAGTTTCCAAAGATTCAAACCGCTCATCAATTGGATTTTTATTGAGCAAGTTATGACTAATTTACTACTCACTGTGGATGTATATGAGCCGAGCTGAGCTGAACACAGTGGTGTTCGAAGCTCGGCTCATGAAAATTTAGATAGCTTGAGCTCCAGTTTGGGTTCGTCGAGCTTTGAAAACCAGGCTCAAAGCTTGGCTCGAGATGATTTACTGAGCTCGAGTTCGACTCGAGATCAGCTCGTTTATTTCTTCCTTTTCCTCTTGAACAAAATTACAGTATTAAAAATCAAAATCAAAAGTCCAGTTTTGTTGTGCCATCAAAATTGCAGTACACCCATCTACCAAAATACCCAACCAAAATTTCACATCAAAATTACATTTATAATCATAAATAAATCACACACAAAGAGATCACATCCTTTCTCTTCCGTGAACAAAAGATGAACTCAAATCCACCATAAAATAATTTAACAAATCGAACCCATTTGTGGAATTACTACTCACTTCAACATGTGAAGCATTTCGCAGAAGAAAATGCAGATTGGTTAAGGAAGGAGCGAGACAGGAAAGAGAAGAGAGAGGACAAGAAGAAGACGGAAAAGAGAAGACAAGAAGAAGAAGGAAAATAGAAAAGAGAAAAAGAGAAGGAGAAAAGGAGAAGCATCTGCTGAAGACCTGAAGTAGAAGACTATAGGGTTTTTGCATATTGGAATAATTTATATAGTAAATGTTAAATAACATATATCTCCTATACTTGAAAACATTGCACTTATACCCTTTCGAGTCGTTTGTGAGCCTATTGAGTCGAGTACTTGATGGCTCGGGGCTCGACTCGATGGATAATCGAGCCATTCGAGCTTGAGATCGGCTCAACCTTTGTTGAGCAGAGTTGGCTAGACACGAGCTGAGTCACGAGCTACCCGCGAGCGGCTTGGCTCGCATACAACACTACTACTAACTATTCAGTAGAAATCGAGAAACAAGAGAAACCAAAATATGTGTGATAATAAAAAGAATAGTTCAATAGTGAGGCTACAGTTATCAAAATTAAGTGTATAATATATCAAATTAAAGCACTATCTGTCTAGTTTCTAAAGATTCAAACCTCTCATAAATTGAATTTTTATTGAGCAAGTTATGGTCAATTTACTACTGATTGTTCAATGGAAACCCAAATGTGTGTGATGATAAAATGAATGGTTCTCCAGTGGGGCTACAGTTATCCATATTAAGCTTATTATCTATAAAATTAAAGTACTATCTATCTAGTTTCTAAATATTCAAACCTCTCATCAATTGGATTTTTATTGAGAAAATTATGGTGAATTTACTACTGACTGTTCAGTATAAACCGATATGTATGTGATGATAAAAGGAATTGTTCGACAGTGGGGCTATAATTATCCAAATTAAGCGTATAATATATCAAATTAAATCATTGTCTGTCGAGTTTCTAAATATTCAAACCTCTCATCAATTGGAGTTTTATTAAGCAAGTTATGGTCAATTTACTATTGATTGTTCAGTGGAAACATAAATGTGTGTGATGATAAAATGAATGGTTTACTAAAACTACATGGTTTAGCATCAAACATCAGTTGATATTTGTTAAATAAATGAAATTAGTTATAATCAGCAAAAACCTCTTTTCATGATATATGTATGTAACATAAAAAGATATCAACAAAAAGAGAAAGAACAATTACAATTACAATTACATATCAATATTTGTTTTCTTTTAAGGATGATAATAATGGTCTGACATATTATAAATGGTTTACTAAAGCTACATGATTCGACAATAAACATCAGATGATATTTGTAATACAAATAAAATTTGTTATATTCAGCAACAACCTATTTTTGATATATATATGTAACATAAAAAAATATCAACAAAAAGAGATAGAACAAATACAATTAAAATTGCATATCAATATTTGTTTTCCTTTGTCATCACTAAAATTGAATTGGTTTTATGTGTGTAGTGATAAAATAAATGGTTTAGAAATAGCTATAGTTATCCAAATTCATCGTATAATATATCAAATTAAAGGTCTATCTTTCTAGTTTCCAAAGATTCAAACCGCTCATCAATTGAATTTTTATTGTGTAAGTTATGACCAATTTACTGCTGATTGTTCAATGGCAATCAGTAGTAAATTGAGAAATAGGGGAAACCGAAATGTATGTGATGATAAAAGAAATGATTTGGAAGTGGGGCGACATTTATCCAAATTGAGCATATAATATATCAAATTAAATAACTATTTGTCTAGTTTCTAAATATTCAAATCTCTCATCAATTGAAGTTTTATTAAGCAAGTTATGGTCAATTTACTATTGACTGTTCAGTAGAAATCGAAATATGTGATGATAAAAGGAATGGTTAGGCAGTAGGGCTACAGTTATCCAAATTAAGTATCTAATATATCAAATTAAATCCCTGTATGTATAGTTTCTAAAGATTTAAACCTCTCATCAATTAGAGTTTTATTGAGCATGTTATGATCAATTTACTGCTGACTGTGTAGTGGAAACCAAAATGTGTGTGATGATAAAAGAAATGGTTCGGCAGTGGGGCTACAACTATCCAAATTAAGTGTATAATATATTCAATTAAATCCCTATTTGTCTAGTTTTTAAAGATTTAAACAGCTCATCAACTTGATTTTTATTGGGCCAGTTATGGCTAATTTACTCTTGATTGTTCAATAGAAATCGAGAAACAGGAGAAATCAAAATGTGTGTGATGATAAAAGGAGTGGTTCAGCAGTGGGGCTACAATTATCCAAATTAAGCATATAATATATCCAATTAAATTCCTATATGTCTAGTTTTCAAAGATTTAAACCGCTCATCAATTTGATTTTTATTGAATAAGTTATGACTAATTTACTACTGATTGTTCATTGGAAATCGAGAAATAAGGGAAACCAAAATGTGTGTGATGATAAAAGTAATGGTTTGGCAACAGGGCTACAGTTATTCAAATTAAGTGTATAATATATCAATTTAAATCTCTGTCTGTTTAGTTTGCAAAGATGCAAACCTCTCATCAATTGAATTTTTATTGAGCAAGTTATGATCAATTTACTACTGACTGTTCAGTGGAAGTCGAAATGTGTGTGATGATGAAAGGAATGGTTTGGCAATGGGGTTACAGTTATCCAAATTAAGTAT